AGAGTTGAAAGTGGGCGATGAAGCTATTTTCCTAAAACGATGCGTCCTTCCTTACGTTCAGAAAATGGAGCAGGATGGTGTGATAAGCAAAGTTGAATCGAATGCCTGGTCGACCCCGATCGTCGTGACGATGAAAAATGATGGTATGACACCACGGATCTGTGGAGACTATCGACTGACGTTGAATCCCAGGTTGCGGAGATGTGCAGCGACCACCATGGAACCAGAGGGTTTATAAAGTCATTGCATGGGTGCGAGTATTTTACCAAGATCGACTTGGACGCATTTTACAGATTGCACTCGATGTCGAATCTCGCTACTTGACAACAATCAACACGCCATGGGGAACGTACCAGTACAATTTTCTCGCATTCGGATTGCATTTGTCGTCTGGCCTCTTTCAGTTGGCAATAGACAATGTAATCAAAGGACTCGACGGTGTGCTTGCATATCAAGATGACGTCCTCATTTTCGGCCTTAACAAGAAAGAACACGATGTCCCTCTGATGCATCTACTTGAAAGATTTGCCACCAGGAACGTGGCTATCAAGCCGTCCAAATGTGTGTTTGGAGTGAGTGAGTTGGAGTTTTTAGGATTCACAGTTGATTCCCCTGGATACCGTCCCAATCCGACACATTTCAAACCATTGACTAACGTCGAATCTCCAAAGGATCAAACACATTTGAGATCCGTGATGGGATGCCTACAATACTACTCCCGATTCATCCCGAACTTTGCTACAGGTGCGTAGGCGATTTTCCGTGCTTAGTGTACAGTCGCTTGGGAATGGTCGGTAGAGTGTGAAGATATTTTACGTGGTTGAATTTGCTGCGTTACTGATCGACCTGTTCTGGCCCCGTTTTCACCTTCAAAACCGACTATACTCATCACCGATGATTCTGACGTCGGAATCGGTGCCGTATTAGAACAAGACGGATGCCCAGTCTACTTAATGCGGCAGAAAACGGATACTCACAGACTCAAAAAGTAGCGTTGGTTGTATTTTGGGCTGTTTGACGATTGCACAAGTACCTTTTCGGATTGCGGTTTACTATCATTATTGATCACCAAGCGCTACAGTTCTTGTTCAACCCATCCATCGCGAAGTCCACTGCTGCTATGCTACAGAGGTGGAGTATCGCTCTAGCCGCATATAACTATGACATCCAGCATCATCCAGGAAAAACAATCCCGCAGGCTGATTTCTTCTCTCGCTACTCACGATTTTCTGAGACCGAACAGTGTCATTTCATCTCTCCAGCATCACCAGTGTCTCGGGAATCTTTACGCAAA